TGGGATGTGGGAAAAGAGAAGGGAAAGAAGGAGAAATTTTGTATGTGTGTATGTACAGGATAGTTAACATAGTTATTCTACTGTCTTCTGTTTCTTTGCTGAAAGAAACTGTCAGTGAGTCCTTGATTGATCAATATTGCATGTCTCTATCTGTTTTCATGAGAAACCACCTTGAAGATATCAATATGTAATGCAACAAGCATTGTTAATTTCCTACCACTTTGTTTGTAACTCTATATTATCTGTACTGTTCTTTTGTTATTTTGTAAAAGGTTGTCTGTCTGTTAATATTTTTCTCCTTTTATTTTTAAAATTAAAAAAAAATATAGTTGGGCACATTATCAGCAAACTGCTGAAGATCAGCAATAAAGGGAAAATCTTGAAGGCAGTCAAAAAATAATTAAGCATTCTATAAGGAAGACATACTCAGCAGACCTCTCAGGTATCCAATCCAGAAGGCAGTGAAGTTACATCTTTTAAATATTGAAAGAAAAATACTTAGAATCCTAAGTGGAACATCTCACTTAGAATCAGTGAAAATACCTTTGACAAATGAAAATAAAGTTTTATTTGTTTGTTTTGCAAATGGAAGTGAAGAGAATTTATTAACTGCAGACTGGCACTACAGAAAATGGTAAATGCTTCAGGTAGAAGGACTATGTGTTAGTGAGTTTTCCATTGCTGTGAAAATATTCCTGGGAGAAGCAACTTAAAAGCAGGAAAGTTTATTCTGGCTTATGGTTTCAGAGGCTTCAGTCCATGGTCACTCGACTTCATGGCTTCTGGGTCTGTTGTGAAGCAGAGCTTCATGGTGGAGAGGCAGGTGGAATGCAGCCCTCAGGTAGACAAATATTTTAGAGTCATGACAATTTCCAGTTCTAAATTCCTAGTCTACCAGACACCCTTAAGTGAACCTTATCTACTCCATGTTTTTCCTCTGTCCACTTTAATAATTCCCCACATCAATTAGTAACTAAGTTAAAATTCAGTTTGAAATTCTACCTCAGAGCACACGGGGAGCCTCGGGCGGGGAGCGCCGGTTTTCAGACCGGCGACTCACTCCCGGCCTCGTGGTTCCCC